TCTAAAACCTGGGCTCCTTTTGGCTTGTGATACTGCCTCTCCGATAGTTCCTCCATGAATCCATTATAATTTAGTACTTAGTTGCTCTAGCAATTTATGTTGTATCATCAAATATTTATGGAATACTTATTTTGTGCAAATTGCTACAACGGTAAGGAAGGGGCCCTGTCTTTGGGAACTTAGGGTTCAGAAGGGGAGTGAACGCGCGCGCGCGCGTGTGTGTATAAAAGGAAGGAAAAAGACCACCCCTCCCAATCTGGATTGTGCCTTTTCATACATATTCCCGTTTGACAGTCTCTGACAGAAGCAGGCCAGGTGGTCTGATGTTGAGGTTTGCATACAAAGAAAGAGGTTCAGGGAGGTGCTGGTGCATCAGCGGTGGGGTCAGGGCAGTAGGGTGGCCCCAGAGGACGCGGAGACGTGGGATGGGCTCCTCAGGGTGGAAGGGGTTAGGGGGTGGAGTCACCTTTGCCTGGCATAGGCGGAGGACACATCATGGAATCGCACCTGGGACACACCCAGGGGAGGATGCAGACTAGAGTTTGGCCGGTGGGAGGGATGCTAAGGAGTAACGTGAGGAATTGCACTGGGTACTCCCATCTTCTGTTCGGCTTAGGGGAACAGAGGACCTCGCCCAGGGATCTTTCTGGTAATAGGAAATGCTTGGGATTGGGTGTTGGCTAACCATCCAATAGAGCCAGGGAGGAAAGGAGTAATAAAAAGAGCTGGCCGAGCTGACCCTGTGGCAGAGCCTATTTTTATCCACCTTCGGGCCCTCGTAGGACTTCTCTCTTGCTTTGAAGAATCTCATCCATCCTGTGTTCAGCCCCTCAGGTGGAGGCGTGGGCAGGCGGCTCGCAGGGTGATGGGGTGGCTCTCTGTCCCCAGGCTCTGGCCGTCTTTGCTTCCCGCCTCTCAGGGCCTCAGAAGTCAAGGCTCAGGATGGAGCTGACCGTTAGCGCAGATGGGAAAGTGAAGCAAGACCTGGGGTTTTTTCCTGAGCGGGTGCTATGATGAAGGAAATTGCAACATGATCTTCTTTCTTTTCTTTTCCTTTCTTTTTTTTTTTTTCTTTTTATAGAAGGGGAAAGCCATCTTCCAGTAAACTTCAGAGACAGTATCTAGTCTTTGATGAAGGTCATCGCCTCACCCGCCGCCGTGCTTTTTGTAGCCGATCTTTCTTTCATCCGTCTGCCCTGTTCCTCCCCTTCAGTGTTCCTCTCTGAGGGACTGTGTCTCTGCGTCAGGCTAGCTACCCGGAGGCTTGCTTGGTGGCCTCTCCTTGACAGTGGGAGCTGTTTAAATAGGCCAGGTGGTTCCTGATACCCACCTGGCCTCTCCTGCTGCCGCATCGGTCTGTGTTCATCTGGTATTCCAGAAGGTTGAGGCAATACTTCTTGGCTCAGGTAGCCACACTTTGTGGTAGATTCAGAGCATGTGTCTAGGCAGATGCTGGGCAAGAGGGCCTGAAACGTGGGAGGCAGGAATCAAGGCTGGAAGGCCCCACATGTTAATCTGGAGTTCTCGGTCAGGTTTGAATTTGGCCTTTGTACTGTACCTGGGCAGGAATCCAGTTATGTTTGAAAGTGTGCAGATGATCTATTTTCCTGATGAAAAATTTTGAGGTCTGGAAAAGTAGTGGGTTTGGGGTTGTGTTTCTTTTTCTTATTCTTTCTTTCTTTCTTTTTTTTTTTGGTGTGATTCATTTTCTCTTTCTTGGATTTCTGTACCCCCAAACAGCCCCAAAATTCCCTACAAACCTTTGAGACTCCAGCTTTAGTCAACCAAGGGACGTTCTAGGTCATCCCTGAGAATGAGGTCTGCTTGCTCTGAGGAAGCTGGGAAATGCCCCGCTGCCTGGGGTGGGTGGTAGCTGCTGGGACTCACAGTGCTGCTGGTGTTAATTGCTTTCTGGGGCCGAGAAGGGCTAAGTCCTTAGGGGTGAGAGTTTTAGTTTGGGCTCTTTGTTCTCTGTACCTGTTGTCTTTGGTACAGCTGATATAGAGCTCCTCCTTTCCTGCTGTTTTCTTTGAATTTGATCTCCCCGTCTTCAGGTAGTGTGCTTCAGGCTGGAAATGAGCTCTGAGAGGTGGTGGTGGAGGGAGTTTGCTTGTTTATCCAGATCCCACAGTGAATATATAAGCCCTCCTTCACTGTGCTCCACGGCCAATAGCAGAGCTCCTAGCCACATGTGGCTATTTAAATTAAAAAAATAAAATAAAAAATTAGTTCCTCTGTAGCACTAGCCACGTTTCAGGGGCTCAGTAGTATCATATAGCTAGTGCCCACTGTCCTGGGCAGCACAGATAGAGAACGTTCTATCATCACAGAACGTTCTCTTAGACAATGCTGGACTCTGAGGTAATCATTCTACACCCTAGTAAAGAATTATCTGAGCTGGAAAGGATTTGTGGAATTGCACAAGGAGAGGTTGTAAGGCCCAGGGAAGAGGGTAAAGAGAAGGTAATAATTTAAAAAGGGACCTTAAATAGTGTTTAGTTTGTCTTGTTTAGGACTACATCCCAGCAAATGGTCAGCTAGCCCAGTGGCTCCCAAACTAAGTCAATTGTCAGAATCACCTGTGGGTAACATTTGAAAAAAGAGATTCCTGGGCCCCACTCTTTGTATCTTGTTGGGTCTGAGACTCTACAGAGGTGGCATTCGGGAATGTGTGTTCCTTAATTATCTGGGCTTGGCCACCACTGGTTCATTGAACCTATGCTTAAATTCCTCCAGTGATGGGGGAGCTTACCCCTTTTCAAGAAAACCCTACCATTAAAAAAAAAATTGCTATTGTTAAAGTTCTGTGTTTACTGAGTTCAAAATTTGGTTCCCCGAGCTTGTAATATTCCTTAGTGCTAGTTGCATTTTCTGGAGCCTCACAGAATGCATCAATTCCATCTTCTGTACTCAGTCTTCTGCAGATATTTCAACACAGCCTGTGACCCAACATCATGGCACATTTTCAGAGTACTCGACCTGCCAAGGGCTCGAGGGAGATGCAGAGATGAGACATCATTGCCAGGATCCTTCCAATTAATTATCAGGCCTCGCTGAGAGATTGAGGAAAGGTCCACGTCGCAGTAGACCCCGTCAGTGGAGAGACCTAGGGGTTGGCCAGCTGGTCTGGACCATGTGTACCCTCCACCTCTCTGCATACCGCCCCATAGGAAAGAGTCCCTACTTTTCTGCATGGCTAACACTTGCTTTTTATTTTTATTTTTTTTTAAGATTTTATTTATTTATTCACGAGAGACAGAGAGAGAGAGAGAGAGAGAGAGAGAGAGAGAGAGAGAGAGAGAGGCAGAGGGAGAAGCAGGCGGGACTCGATCCCAGAACCCTGGGATCATGACCTGAGCCGAAGGCAGACGCTTAACCATCTGAGCCACCCAGGCGCCCTAACACTTGCTTTTTTAAAGGCACTGATCCATTTTCCTTCAGAGGCATTGAGAGACCCAGCCAGCTGGTGCCGGTCAGATAGGACCACAAACATTACTTCTGTTTAGAGACCTTCAGTAGCACCCTCCCCTTGCCTCCAGCGTAATGCTCAAACTCCTAACATGGTATTCAAGCAAGCTGGCTTTGACCTTCCTTCCCATCCCCACCCCTCACTCACACACTCACCCTTTCAGGGATTACTGCTTCCCACCCTGAGTGCATTCTTACGCTCCCAGGTCTTCTGTTGCGCCTCGCATTTGTTCATCCCCTTGTCCTGGTAGAGTTCTCTCTCTCCTTCAAAGCTGAGATTTTACCTGCTCCCCACGCCCAATTCCGGGTAGAATAACTCCCTTCCCTGTACTAGGGGTAGTTCGTACTAGCGGTAAGTCTGCTATGAATTTGAATTACAGCCGCTCCTGTGCCCTTCCCTGCTAGACTCTGAGCTCCTTGGGGGACAAGGAGTGTGCTCATTTATGTGGAATCCCCCAGTGCACAGCCCCGTGCCAGGCCCTTAGCTGAGGTGTCGTGTGTGCCCATGGAAGTGCGGTAGTTGTTGCCGTGGCTGTGTGTCTTCCCTTGGATTCTGTTGCCTCTGCCACGGGGAGCTGGAGCCCCTTTCCCAGCGCCAGCTTTCTCCCGGCAGTGGCCTCCGGGCCCCAGCAGCCCCCAGGAGAAAAGTGCTGTTTAGCAGCTGATAATTAACAAGCAGGGCCTGGAGCCTTGGCTGCCTCAGAGGCAAAACTGGTATTTAAACAACAAAGTTGCTAAAATCAAAAATTAAAGTGTCTGTTTCAGAAGCAGCTACATCCAAACAGAAGCCTGCTCTGCTGAGATAAATGGAATAATGAGTGGAGCCAAAGGGCTCTCTCTAACCCTGAGCGTGGCCTGGCTGGGGCCGGGGGTGGGGGTGGGGGCAGGAAAGGCAATTTTCTGTTTCTGCTCGCTGCTGTGGGGCCTGGGACTGCCTGGGGAGTAGCGGGGGGCTTTCCTTTCACTCCCAGTGTGTATAGATTAGACTCATTTTGCCCAGTGGGCAAGAAGAGAAATTTGGGAAAACAAGGTAGGAATAAACTGGGGGCCTTCTCTAAGGTGATAAAGCCCACTTTTGTCTTCAGTGATAAATAGAGACGGTTCAGTCCTGCCTCGCGGGGTCTCATCTTGTTTTCTTCTGACGCTGTTAGGGTTGAGAGGGGAGCGCTGACATTCGGGCCTCCTCCCTTCCTAGGTCAGAACCGGGGCGTGAGGAATTCCCCAGCCTCTTGTTGCTGCCCAAATACTAACCACAATTCCCAGCTCCACTATTCTAAGAAATATGCGTACCAGGAACAGCCCGTGGCTTCAGAACCAGGGCAGCTGCTCAAGAGGCAGAGGCTTCCTGTATGTGTGCTGTGTGTGTATGGGGGGGGTGTTGAGAGTACCCTGCGACCTGTCACCAGGACACCCGCCTCTGTGCTCAGCCGCAGAGGTCACTGGGAGATGCCCTTGTGAATGAAGCAGAGAGCCCGCTGAAGGGTCTGTCCCACAAGTTCACCCACGGTACGTGGCCAAAATTAGGGTCTGTCTGACAAACATCTTTTTCTGGGAATGGGTTGGGGGTTGGGGGAGACTACTATCAGATCCAAGAGACAATCCGAGACATACATATATACATGTATATATGTATATAGTTTGAATACAAAAATACTGGCCTTTCTGGGAAATGTTAACATGATTTATGTCATGTCTGAGAGTCTGTCACTCATTGTGACCTCTCCACTGGTATCTGGCCCATGATGGGAAGGGGGTTGGGTGAGAACCCTTGCCTGCCATCCCTTTCAGTGTCTCTGTTGGCATTAGTGGTATTGGTGGCTGAGCTTGCCCAGACCATGTGTGACACTTAGGGTGGTGGCCATAGCTGACCATAGGCGTGTACGGTGCGTGCAGTGACCCAGTTACCCGTAGAGCCAAATGCAAAACAGTTGGGGTAGTTTAGGAGGAAACTTGATAAAGGAATGAAACCCCCTGGCTCACCTAGGGTTGAACCCTTGTCCTTGGTGACATAAGCAGAGATGATTACAGCCAGTGTTGGCTTGGGTGTCTCTCTGATGAAGTTCCAGTGGGTCCTTGCAGAAACTTCACTCGTTGAACTGGATGGTGAAGATCCCACAAGCGTGTGTGTCCTCATTAATCTGTTCACCTGTCTGGTCACTGGAAGTTTATTGTAGGGAAACCAGGTAAGCAAAGTTTTTCTTGTGTCCTCCAAGGGGTAAGAGAGCTACGTTCAGGGGTCAGGGTGGACGTGGAGGAAAGAGCCACCCATCCCTCCAAGCACCAGCCAGTCCTGGAATGTGTTGGTGGAATGCCGATCCCGAGATGCTCTGTGAGCCGATAAATCTGGGAAACACTCTGCATGTACATTAACATTTTAAAGGCTCCGAGAAGTTCTGTAGTAAAAGAATCTGTTTGCAAAACCCAGTGTTGCTGACATTTCCAGGATCCCTTTTTTACTTATTACTTATTAACATCCTCCTAGACTGCTGTTTGAGACATGGCAGTACAGTCTCCCTGCTCTGGGAGACCTGCCCAGTGATTTGAGAAAAATTCACCTGACTCTAGGTCAACACCGGTTTGAGAGGTTTTAAAAAGGTGTGTGCGTATGTGTGTGTGTACATATGTGTGTGCCAGGGTGTGTGGCAGAGAAGGGCCCCCGGCAGGTGGCTGCTATTGAAGTTGGCCCTGTCTGCGTCCCTGCTGGCTTTGTGCTTCTGGAGAAGGCTTTTGTCCTGGCTTGAACATGCTGAACAGCAGCTACATCTGTCACGCCTGGGAAGCGGCAGTTTGCAGCGTGGGGGGCGAACAAGCAGTGAACAGACACCCCTGCTTGAGGCCCAGGCTGCTGCGAAGCCCTCCATGTCGCAGGGAGGGGCTGGTGATCCCGGGACAGCTGCTTGCTAATCCTGGAAGTGGAGGGGAGCACGATTTAGTGCCCTTATCTCTGCATTCTCCTTGTCCAATGGGGGAGATTGTGTTGAACCTCGAGGTGGTAGCTGGGAAGAAGCAGGTGGGCAGGATATTTTCTGCCCTTCACCAACCACAAGGCATCTGGAGGGTGGACCAGGGTGGAAAGGCACTTAGCTCTCCATTACCCAGTGGGGTGGAGATGAAGCCATTTTGGCTAAACTTTAAGGAAAAATTCAGAATTGTGAGGTGGATTGAGGAAAATTTGTGGTGTTTTAAGATTGGAGAGTCCCGGCTAGAATTGCTTTTTGACCATTGGTGACAGGAATTGGGTATGAATGACTGGTTCCCTGATGGCTGGCTCCTTGAGAAAGGTCTGGGAGGCATTCCTGGGTTCTTCACCTGGAGCACACCCAGGTCCAGGGAGTTCCCGAGGCTGGTGCAGACCTCAGTACCCTTCCTGTACACCTTTGCTGGGAGGAAAAGGATTTCTGAGGAAATTGGCAGCTGGGAAAAAAAATGGGAGTAGGAATCAGTCACTCTTCCTGGGGAGTATACATGTCCACTGTGGGTAGACCTCTGTGTAATTAAGGCAGGCTCAGGATTTCCCTATCTGTTTGTATGGATGTATGTATTAATATATTTTTTTATGCTGCTTTTCCTCTTTGGACCTCCTCCCAAAGGGGGAGGCGTTAGTCTGTCTTTTGGAACTAGGGTGAGGTGTCCCTTACCTCCCGGCTCCTCTGGCCTTGTCTTGCCTTCCCTCAGTCACAGCCCCAGAGGCCCAGAGTCATTCAGATGGGGGAGGAGCAAACCCAGTCCCTCTTGTTAGTGGAGAAAAGGCAGATGCGCCCCCCCCCCCCCCCCCCCTCCCCCTGCACAGGAAGTCTGGGTGGGCCAGGCTTTGGTTTGGGAAACAGGAGCATTAGCGGCTGCTGCCAACTGGGGTTGTTTGCAGACTCCCAGGCTCCAGTGTCTCCGGAGGGACCAGCAGCTCTGACCCCCGTGGACCTGCTCTGGTCCCCAGGGAGGGAGTCCTTGCCAGGAACCTCTGAGCTAACTGGAGGTGGGTGTTGGGTAAGGGTGGTGGAGGACCGGATTGTAGGAGAGAAGTAGGGGATGACTCCCTCCTTCCCCCATCAGCCGGGGATGCATCACCACTGCTGGGAAGGCATTCAGGCCCCTTCTAGACAAATGGGTCATTATGGAAATTCTTTCTTACCCCAGGGTGGGGCTCTGCTGGTTCAGAAGAATCTTCAGATGTCTTGGCCACCAGGGACCAAGCCATTGACCTGCTATATCCCCTCAAGGCTAGAGGGCAGGACAGTGTCTGAGTCCTCATCCCTGTGCTCGCTCTCTGTTCTCCCTTCTGGTGTCGTCCCGTCTTCACCCGGTCGGACGTCGCAGCGGTCGTCCGGTGCGTGGTGGGCATGGGGGGGTGGGGGAGAGGGGGCCCCGCATGCCTCGCCTTCCTCTGTCCCACAGGTCCTAGCCTTGCTGGGGCTCCACTCCTGTCACCGCCCCACTTGCGGCTGCGGCGCATCCGGACCTAGACAGGCTGTCCTGGTGTCCTGCCTAATGAGGACCCCAGACTTCCCCTAGGTGATTGGCCACAGTTATTCCAAGGGAGGAGTGGGATTTCCCCCACCCCCAGACACTCCAGAGACTTCCTCCAGGCTCCTGGCTCCCGTGTCCGAGTCTCGAGCTCTAAGCAGTCTGCTCTCCCGTACCTCCCCCACCCCCACCCCCACCCCCCACCCCAAGGAGAAAGGCGGGAAGTCCTGCCAGAAGTTGTTTTTTGGTTTGTGAGGTAACGGTCTTTGGATTGAGAAACACACATACCCTCCCCTTTAAGATCTGAGGCCAGAAGCACTAGACTCTGGTTTCCGGGGAAACCAGAGAAACCAGAGTGGGCAAGGCAGAGAGAGAGGGGGCTGGTTATAGGTATTGAAATCTGGGAGGGGCTCCCAGGCCCCCTGTGCTTTTCCGGGGAGTCTGCGTAGC